AGGGGATAATGAGACACTCCGCTGGATGTAGCAGTACATCACATTTGGCTAATTAGCGAAGCATTTTCAGCCTGTAATACTACCAGTGGCGCATATCCTCATTGTAGCCTTTCATTACATAATTCAATTACACAGACATGTCAAATAAAACGACCTCAAATGCCAGCTGGCGTATAAAGAGTTTCGTAAATAACGGAAGTTTAATACAAAATCTTAAGAGACAGAAATGAAACTTGATTGACTTTCTCGCGTTTAATGTATCTTATAAATTCAAACAGTTGTTTTGTCTGTATAATTGATACTATTTATTTGTGCTTTCTTAGAATATCACTTAGAGGAATTATACTAACTATAATGAGTTCGAGGTTGTTACTCTGTGTTTATCTGAGCCTAAAATGGTAGGACTTGATTTCAAAATGATCGTATATTGTGTGAGGGTAATTATGTATTTGTAGGAAAGTAATACAAAAAGCAAGCTAAATAAGAAAAACAGAGCAATTAACTTAGAAAAAAGAATCGAACTAATTAAATTTAATGTGCTGAAAGAAAGTAAAAAGTAATGTGCTAGAAAGAGAAAAAATAGAGAAATTTATCCTTAATTAAAATATATATATATATATATATTATTTCAAATCGACACTTAAGAGCTAGCTCTTTTGTAGATTTCTTTGATTCATTTTGTACCGTTATGTTTCCAAAGTACTAAATCACAACGGTTTGTAAAATAAAAACAAGTATACTATTCCAGATATCCTTTTACTGTATATTTTATTTTAATTTATATAGCAATGATATACAAGCATCTCTTTAAAATTTGGCTAAAAACATGATTTCAACTTTTTTAAACAATTCCTCTGTAGTTTTCATAGCTTTTTAGTGCACACCTATCACCCGTGTCCCTTAAAGACCCCTTTTATGGGGGGGGGGGTGACAGTCCAAAAAATACGTAGACATAAGCTTCGAGGGGTAATCTCTTTTGCAAAAATTAAAAACCTGTTGGTCTAGGAAGGGGGGAGGGCTTTGCCCCCAATACCTCCCCTGACAATAACGTTAAAAAAACAACTTAAATTGAAGATAAATATGTTAAAAAAAGGGGCCAAATTTGGCTTTGATATATTTGTTCTATTTCCATTATTTTCAAATTTCAGTATTCATCCTACTAGATTTTTTCTAATAATAAAACAGCCAGTTACTAGGAGAAAAATAGCCATTTATTAATTTTTCTTGCATTATAAATTTGAAAATTACGAAGGAGTTTTAAAAAATAATTTAAATCGGGATCTCGCGTCAAAGCGAAAAAACATAACTTCTGGGAACCAAAAGTAAGGTCTTATATTAATAGACCGATAAAATACAAATAATATATAGAAAGAGAGAATCAGCAACAGAATTACATTGAAATAAAGAATTTTTTAGATCATTAACATGATCCTTTTTAAGAAAATCAGTAGAGTTCTCTCAATATATACCAGATTCGAATCTAACGGAAAATATTTAAAAATTAACGATACGAGGAGATATATTTAAGCACTTATTATATAATACCGAAGAAAGTTTATAGTTTATTCAATTTAATGTTGTCAAATTTACAGATTAATAATTCTTTATCTCAGATTGTGTAAAATATTGAAGGTACACTGTGACGTATTCGCATCAATGAACAATAGTATTGCCACAACTGAAACATATTTACCATAAATAATCGATTCCAGATAGAAATCCCTTTTGCCATTAATCGGCTTGACATTTGTAGGAAGAATTACCCCAAACCCAGAAATTAATCGAATCAGCAATACAGTTAAATCAAAAGTTTTACTATACCGACCATTTAGATACATTGTTCTACATAGTACTTTGTATGAAGATAATTCTAAAGAGAGAATTAATTGTGTTAGTTGATTCTAATTCCCTTTACACAGAGAAATGCATTGAGTTTTGGCGATCGCCAACATAGACCAGGAAACCCTTGTGACTAGTTTGACCCGAACAAGCCCTGCATCTAATCCGGGGCGGTGAAGAGCGTGGTCCCTAATGAACGTCTCGAGTCTTATCTGACAAGAAGATTGAACTTGTCAAGTTTGTGTCCCTGCGCCGCTCTCTCACCCTCCTCCTCACCTTTGATATAAGACTGGCAGGACAAACTCCTTTAAAGCGCATTTGTGAAAAAGTAAGGATTACATAAGAGTTGTGTTTCTTTGGAAGGTTTTCAACAAGGAATACAATACATGTAACATCATTATAAGTAGTTTTAAACTAAAAAGTTTTCTTTTTTTCTTCGTACACTTACATGATCTTCTGAGTTATATTGAAAGAAATGTAACACATTTGGTACATATCTTCAGTATATACGCGCACTTCCTGTGCCTTTTGAAAAATAAGCTTCTTTTTTTTGAATTCCATAATTTTATATAGAATACAAATTTTGAATTTCAGAAAATTTAATTTTGTAATAAGAATGATAATGGGAAAAAATAAATAGTTGCCTCCAGAAACCAAGTCAACTTTATTAAATAGTTTGCTTATCATAAAAAGATATTGAAATAGTAAAATAAAGAAATAAAAATAATCGGAAAAGTAATCGGAAAAAATACTCCAAAAGACAGTGACTAATCAATAATCCCCTTGCTGGTTAGAAATACTTGTATGACGATTCAAGCCTGCTTTTACCAGTAATGAACTTAATTTTTAAAAATTATTCTATGTCAAATTTTGAAAGAAATAGATTCAGCCATCAAAGTGATCAAATGTACATGTAATTACAAAATAATAATATAATAATTTTCTGGAAGGTGGTCAGGTGATATCTTTATGCATTGACTAAAACAAACGCTTTCTTAATGGCTAACATAAAAACATAATAAAGGTAGCATTCGAATCTAAGATCAATGACTATTCATTAGGGGGGGGCCCCCTTGACATTTATAGAATACTGATTTTAAATATATATCTTCAGTTTTGATTAAAATCACGACGTTTAAAATCCAGTTTCAAGGGGAAAATTCAACTTATTTGCTATAGAAAACTACTTGTGCACTATACTCATACATATCTGCTTATGAGTGTGCCCAAAAAAACTTTATTATTATTTCTCTAAGTGGTTTTATAACAAAATTAAACCTTCTGGATTCAAACAGAATTGCTTGAACAATTGTCAGCTTACTTAAAACGTTTAAACCTAGAGAAGAAAAAAAATATATATAAGCGAATTATATGCAAAAGGAAAACTTACCAGCTTCACTGTTGTTATCTGTGCTCATTTGGGAACTGGGCTGTTGTGAAATGGGGCCAGGGGTGCCTGTTGACCCTGTAGGAGACCGTGCATCGTCGGGCCCTGTGCTGTACGAGTTGAGGGACTGAGATGGGGGTCTCTGGTATGGTAAGAAAGACTGTAAAAAAATCTAAAATTAATAACTATACATAACAAATGTGTAAAGTGGAAGATTATATATAAACATAATTATATGTATACATATAATATGTTATAATATACACATCTTAACTCAATGAACGGAAAAATAACAAAACGTTGATCAGGATAAGCAAGCTAATCACATTAAATAAACATGATGAAAACAAGGAGAATTTGTTTGGTAAATTTTACACTTTGTCTGGAAAAGGCATTAAAAAAAAGATATATCATACATCCCACTGAAGACTGCCGAAGACAAAAGGGTGAAGCACTTTTAGTATCTAAATACAGTTTAAAAAGATTACACACAGATGACTGGTACGAGAATTATATTGTGCATATTTTTATTTCAGAGAGCATTGAATCTTCAGTAATTTAAAAAAAAACATGATACAAATAGTACATATAAAAACAAAATCAAATTATTAAAAAATCTTATTTTATTTTTCCCCATTCTAAAGTATTAAAGAAAATTAAACTTGTATATATATATAACAACAAGTAATATAAAAAAAAAAGTTTAAGTTAATTCCTACTTAGGTCAACAAAGGAAAATATTATTTTAGTTATAATTAATACAAATATGTATATAAATATGAGTGAATCATAATATTAAGTGGCAAGATCAACAGTGATTTTTTTTTCTATATATGTGGTGTTGGACTATTATTTTTGTTTGTTACTGCGAATTTATTCATAACATTCTCAGAAATTAGGCCATCCCAGGTGATATTCGAATGCTCGACCTTTGGATTAGAAATCCAACTCGCTATTAATTGCGCTACAGGGACACAACGAGCACTTTTCCTTTTTATATATGGTGTTGAACCATTATTTTTGTTTGTTACTATTTATTCATTAATTAAGTTTAACTAATGAATTAGCATTTGAAAAAAACTGTATTAACATAAGTGTCATCCACTACAAGTTTTAAAAAAATGTATTTGAACTTGAATGGATGAAAAGAAAGTATTTTATAAACAATTGAAAGTTTGAACAAGATATATATATATATAGGGAGATTGTGAACTAACAGTAGAAATTGAAAAAGATTGCTCATGAAGGTCATTTTTAAAATAACAATGTTTTGTGAATCAATTCATGTGTTTAAATTATTTTGTGAAAATAATTCTTAAATAATAATTTTTTTCTGTATCTTAAAAGAACATTAAATATGTTGAGAAATGTATCAAATGCGAAAGTTCTTGATAAAATGGATTAATCTTAAAACAAAAAAGCATATTTATTACAAACATTAACAAAAGACTTCCTCAGGCGATAGAACCAAGCAGCTACCGTGTACCGCCCACCATTAAAAAGTAACAACTCCGCATTTACGCGTACGAACCTCCAGCAACTCAAGTGTCACTCAAACTAGAAATAAAAACCTAATACGGGTATCAAAATAGCTGACAAGGAGGGGTAGTGGCAATTTTAGTGGCCATTTCGGAAACGCAACATTTTGAGAGTAATAAAATCCTTTAAAAAAAGGTGACCCAATTTGATCTCAAGTGGAGGTCATAAAAATGCTCGACAGTCGCCAGAAACGGTCATTCGGGGTCCTTTTGCCACAGGCTGTCGATATAAATTTATGTACAGAGAAGTGTAGAGAGTGAGAAAAGCATACCTTGTGGTTGTGTCTTTGAGATTGCTTGTCAAACCAGGACATGATAGACGCCCTACAGTCATAAAGGTTTAATGGACTCATAAAATTAGTTGGCCAGGGTAACTAATAAAGATAATGATGATGGCGTAATAGGGAAATGTGTGCGTGATGTTCGTAGTGAGATTCGAAAGCTGATAGTGAAAATTCCTCTGAAAAGCTAAGTTATTTCTTTTAGAGGAGATAAACTATTACATTACAGAGACACACACAAGGGAGAAGAATAAATTCTACCAACCACTATTTATAGTTGAAAAATGCCTTAATTTATGTCAGTTACTTGGAGCTGAAATGTATAAGTAGATAAATTTAAAGCTTATATCTCTCGGGAAATCTTGGTGCAATCAAGATAATTGGCTATATAAAAATGTAAACGAGCGTTACAGGTTTCGTTAAACTTTTTCGATTATTGTGATAACACATGTGTGAAAAATGAGGCAGAATTTAACTAATTAAATAAATGTGATAAACATCAGGATCATGAAAATGTAAGAATTATTTATGGAATTAGAGAGCTCACACTCCGTATTCTCTAAAATTTGTAATCCATACTGACAAGAATAGCAGTTTATTTCAATTTATAAAATGTGAGTTCATATCTGGCTTAAGATTTCTTTAGTGCTTTATTTAACATGCTTTAGTTAAAAATTCCGTTGAAGATTGTTAGCACATTTAAATTCAAACTCTCTCTTAAAAATTGTGACTAAAGACTGTAATAAATACCAAAGCTAAATTTTTTTCGTTGAGAGTGCTTTTTAATTGGTCCTTTACAGATATCTAAATCCTATTCATTGCTTTTATACATTAATAAAAACTAATAAATTAAAATATTGTGAATGTGCACAGACTAGTTATAAACTTAATTTTTCTTCAAAATGATGTTCATACGTTATATTTAAAGTCAAAAATACTTTACAGAAAACACGAATAAGTGAATGAATGTTAACGTCGCACTATTCATCTACTCGAGGGCTTTTAGCTACGGATCTCGTAATATTGAACCATGGTCAAGTGACGAGGACGACACCTGAGCTCGCATCCTCCATTCCTAACTTCCTCACCACACCAATGGGAGGACGTTTCAGCCTCAATAGATTTAACGTGCATCGTTCTCTATACGGAGGGTGGTCTTCAGCGGTACTAGGCTTGAACTCATAACCCGCCGGCCGCAAGTCCGTTACCTTGACCATTAGGTTACCGCGGCCACCAAAAGAAAATATGAAAAAAAGAAGTTACAGATAATTCTAGGATGCAACAAGGATCAAATACCATTTGCAGAACTATTATTCCAATTTCCACAATGTCTATCAATATCATTAAACTAATTATAATGTATACAAATGTATTACTTTAGATGAAAATTTAATCTTTGAAAATGAATTAGCAATGATAGAAATGACATATTGTGCTTTTTTCCAGGGGCAAATAAAGGGAAATTTTATTTCAGAATTTTACCAACTAATATAATTTGTCATACTAATATGTCGAGAAACTTACAAAACTAGATCTTTTAAGGTATCCGACTCCGTTCGGAACCCTGATTTTAAAAAAGTGCATAAATGTATAATTTTCATGATAGTGTCACTTAGATTAGAATACATGTATAAAATTGTTTTATAAAGACATTATGACAAAAAAAATTATTTAAATGCAGTATTTTGGCAAGAAATTAACTTAGAATAACTTTTTTCCAAATGTTCTTTTGTAAGAAATGTTTCTATTGTATTAATATTTTGCCTGTATATAGCTCAGACCTCTGTACAGGGGCTCAACTAGAATTTTTGAAACGCATAACTTGGAAGTCGGTTTATCCATGTTTTACTAAAACAGAAGGGAGAAATTTTAAGAAAATACGCCAATAATTATTTCAAATGGTTGTAACTCTGAAAATAATGTGAATTTTTCAAAAATCAAAGTTGAGCCTCTGTACAGAGGTCTAAGCTGTATACAGGCAAAATATTAATACAATAGAAGCATTTTTTACAAAAGGAGAACATTTGGAAAAAAGGTTATTCTAAGTTAATTTTTTACCAAAATATTGTATTTAAATATTTTTTTTTGTCATAATGTCCTTAAAACAGTTTTATACATGTACTCTAATCTAAGTGATACTAAATATTATGAAAATTATCCATTTATGCGCTTTTTTTAAAATCATGGTTTCGAACGTAGTGGGATACCTTAACGCAATACAGTATAAAGAGATTAAATTAGTCACAGCAAAAATGTAAGATATCACTTAAATTTGCCAACAGCGCATTGATTTTGATCTATCAAATATTAAATTTTTGAATGCTTTTTTCGATTTTGTAATTTGTCTACTGTCCCTGTCATTCAGCTAAATGTTATTTAAGATTCCAACAATTCTTGAATTGAAGGGGGAGGGAATGGGGGTGAGATCAGATGACAGGGGAGAAAAAAAGGGAAAAAAAAGTATTACAAGGCGGACTCGCATGATGGGTGTCATGGAATAGACATAAAAAAAATTCCCTCGCGACCGTAAATCAAACGGGACGACTATTTTATAGCCCCTGGACCCAGCAATACCCAGTACTTCCGCTATGACCTAAGAAAAGAAACAGTGTCAAGAAAAAGTAAGAATTCCCTCTTTTTGCAGAGCCAGAGAATACGAACAATGGTTCGGTGAGTTAAGATATGGAATCCAGTTGCCGAGAATGGTTCTATAAAGTCGCATAAATATGTCTGGCGGACAGTGTTATTGTTAGAGTGGTTTTTAAACGTAAGCGTTTGAAAGAAAGAAATCTTTTGACGAAAACACATGCAAAAACTGTTAAATCAAAATCATTTTGTTTGAATATCGAATGATAAAACGGATCTTCTAGAATGTTCGCCATGAGCATAAGTAATATTGCATTCGCATGAAAAAGTTCTTTAGATACGATAATGAATGATGTATAAATATTTTTCTTAGTAATGTTTATTAAGTAGCTAAAAATGTAGGTTTCATTGTTCAGTTTATTTTTTTTTTAAAAAAAAAAATTAATGGTATATATCGAGAAGTATACACAGTTAACTTAAAAGAAAAATTTCCCCTATCTCTAATCAAATGTTTTTCCCTGTTTAAAAATAAATGCTTCAGTCGAATCGAAAAAAAAAAGTTCATATTTTAAAACAAAGGTACGAAAAGTGCGAATTTATGTCATGATTAACTTCTTTAGCACCTAGTAATAATCATTATAACTTAATGCCAGGAAAGAAAATTGCACTTAAAAGCACATAAAAAATATTTAGGTGGAATGGTTACAGTGGCGTATACAAGGGTTTGGGGGATCAAACTAACTCCCATAGACCAACATATTTTTTTTTTTATTTTTAGCATAAAGATCATGTTTCGGTGCTTCATCTACGTTTATTATTATTATTATTTTTTAATATAACTCCTCGTAAGGAAGAAGTTTATGTACTCCACCGCATGAACGGAAATCAATGAACTGAAAAATAAGAATTACGTTGGCTTATTCTTTTCCATTCAGTGGTATATTTTGCATAATGATCTCAAAAGGAGTGGAAGATATCTTAATTTAACTTGGCAATAAATTGTTAAAAATAAATATTATGTGTGTATATATTGATACTAATTACGTAATAAATATATTTTTTTTATTTTCCATAGATCAAATTATTTATTAACCTTTACCCAAAAGGGAAAGTCAGATCTTTTATTTTTAATGAAATATAACTCTTATCGCGCTAACTCTACCCTCAACAGGAGTCAGTGGCATATCGTGTAAAATTTCAACACCACCTGTGTCACTATAATGGTTTTCCAAGAAATCCCAGAATGAAATAAATTCCATGAAGTCCGAAAACAATCACGCTCTTGACACGCTCCAGGCTCATCCTTTCACTCGCTGGGCTTGATGAAACATCCAGAATTTCGCACTGCACACTACATGTCGTGAACTTTCTATGGAAATAGCCAGTGATCGCGTGCTGCCAGCTGAAGAGTTACTATCCTACATGAAGAATTTAGAAAGGAAATGGACATCATTCAGTCCCGAAGACAAGTTCTGCCCTGACGTCCATTAAGAAGCCTCGTAGAGCCATGAATTTCAATAAGTAAGACCCGCTGACTTGGCAAGACAAACTCTTGTAGGTTTGACAGCT